ACTTCAATTACTCTCACTCCCTCCTATTGATTTGGTTACCATGAAATCTCATAACATTAACTGCTGCAATTGTGATACATGAATTCTTAATACTACCAAGATTCTCAATTAAGTTTCAGAATCGAATTCGGTTTAATTCCCTTTCAGGGACAAGCTTTTGCAAGATTTCCCTTCTCATTTACAATACTTGAACTCAAATCAAATATCAATAGGCATTGATAAAGAAATAGGGCAAAAGTCCTTTAAAGTATCTCAAAAATGGTCTAATTTAGTATGTATCATATTCAAAAGTGAGTAATTGAAGAACCCATTGAGCAACCTCGACGGTAAGCGGGAATTTTGTTTCATCGAGATGTTCTGGGTTTGAGCAATTATATTTGTAGTGTTAGTGTGTGTGCGTTATCAAGAGACTAAGAAAATTATAAATATATAATACTTTGTAATTACCTCAAACTATTTAAAAATACCTAATTATTCACTTTCGGAATCGATAGAACTAAATTACTAATTTTTCGGAAGGACTTGTATGCTTAGTTTCAGAATTTAGAGAACCTAAACCGTGTTTTGACCTAAAATAACTCCCACTAGAATATGAAGTTGTTTTTGTGGCATTTTGTGATTTGACTATTGATGAAAGTTTGTCCAATGGTGAAAAAGCCAAAGATTGAACACTTTCACTTTTTCAGAAAACTGTGAATACCTAAACGTTAAAAAAGTACAAGTGGTCATTGAAGAAGTGTGTAAAGCGAGGACTCCGTCTGGAAGGCAAGAATCAACACTGGTAATTATTAGTAAAAGGACTGATGCACAACCTGTCTAAGACTTGCCATTTTCAGTTCTCTAATTAGAACAAAAATTTTTATATACTTTGATGGCATAAACCTATTGGGTTTCTGGCTGATTATCATTCACTTTCAGATCTTATAACAATTCTGCCCCTCTCTCTTATCATCCATCACACCAATATCATAAGCAATTTGACCAATTATTACAAAAAGAGTAAATTACAAATTTGATGGCTGGACTTTCATACGATTCATATTTTACTCATCGTATTTTCAAAATTTTTAATTTCTCACTGAACTTTATACATTGGATTTTTTTTTGTAATTGACGTGACTTATTTTAATACTAAAATTCAGCCACATAATATTTCTGTTTAATAAAATAAAAATTAATCAAGAAAAAAAAAACCTTAACTCCCAAATCCTACGACAAAACCCTAGCCCCAATTTTACACCCAAAATCATATATCAAACCCTAACCCAATCTGCAAATTAATCAGACAACCATCAAAATCCACAAGCAATTCCAATGGAGATCTTATAAACTTGTTCCAAGAACCAAACAATCACAATAAATCGTTTTTGTTCTCTCTCTGAAATCCAAAAATGAAAATACCAAAAAATAAAGAAGAAGAATAAAGAGGGAAAGAGGAAAAAAAATAAAGAGGATGAAAACACCAAAAAATAGTTTTTGATTTCCCTTGCATGCTTCCACAACTTCCACAGTAGAGAAAATGGAAATGAGAGGGTGAAGAAGAAGAATAAAGAAAGAAAAGGGGAAAAATAAAGGGGAAAAAAAGAAATATAATTTTTTATTGAGACTAAAACGATGTCATTTTGGTCAAAATTTAAATATTTTATAGATTCAAATTACGTCATTTTATTATAAGTTACCATGTCATAACACCGTTAATTATTTAACCACAAAGTGACAAAAAAATTCAATGAATAAAATTCAATGAGCAAATTGAAAATTTTAAAAATACGTTACGTAAAATAGGAATCGTATGAAAATTCAGTTATCAAATTTGTAATTTACAACTAAAAAATGAGAAAAATTCTTGTTTCATTGTTTAAGCAATGGTAAGTTTTATATCCATGTACTTACTAACATGGAACACAATAATGGAATGGGGGATTATCGAAGGCTGGCGTGTTTGAGCATAGAGCGGTGTGAGCCTTAACTTCTTGTCGCCTCTTTCTAACATTATCAGCTGTGAATTTAAAGATATTTTTTAAATGGGCACATATTTATTAATAATAAAAAAATTTGTATAAATAAGCAAAAAATTATTTTAAGATAAATACCTTAAATAAAATAAACGACTAACATAAAAAGATACAAATTCCAAAGTCATCAGTGCCCACCCTAGATTTCACGTACATCCGCCGCTGAACAATGGTTTGCCACACTTTCCTTTCTTAATAAGACTTGAACACCAATGTTTTGAAAATCGGATTGGACCGGCTGGTCTAACCGGGAATCGCTGTCTGGTCCGGTTCATTCTACATTGGTTAAACCGCTACTAGTTAATCGGAAAGAACCGTTAAACTGGCTGTGAACCGTTCAAACCGGACCGGATCATGAACCAGTTGAAAACCTGTTATGTTTTTTTTCTAAAAAAAATTAAATCAAACGACATCGTTTGTTAAACGAGCCGAGTCGAACTCAAAAACTTTAAAAGTGAGCTCAACTCGACTCAAAAACTCACAAGCTAAAAATTATCAAGTTCAACTAGAACTTGAAATATAATATTAAAACTTGAAATATAATATTAAAACTTGAACTCAAAAAGGCTCGATCTCAAAAAAAATTTAGAAGCTCGATTGAAGCCTGAAATTTGAGCTCGATTGAAGCAAAAGAATAGTTCGCTCTGCGCTCACCAAAAGACTCCAAGATTTTGAATGCCAAATTACCTCTATTATTTATAGAAGTCACTTGGGATGCTCTTCTATATTTCTTAGCCATGTGAGATTGTTTTGTTTTCATATTTTCTCTTTAGATTTTTGTGATGCTCTTCTATGTTTCTTTTCTTAGACATGTGAGATTTTTTTTTTTAAAAATTAAACCAAACGACATCGTTTGTTATGATTTCTTTAGCCCCAAATTTATTTTTTGATTATAGTTATATAATTATATTTATTATTTAATATGTTTTACCTTAAATATTATGTTGTAGTTGATTTGAATCATTTTGTTTCACTTGATTTTATGGTTTTTAACTTATATATGTTATAAGTTGCTTTGAATATAACTTGTGATATAAAAAACTGTTTTTATTAAATGTTTTTTTATATTTTTATTTAATTTTTTAAATAATTAATTAATTATGACGTCGTCCGATTCTTCCGACCGGTCTAACCGGTTCGACCGGTTGAACCGGTAGCACGGCCGATTCACTGGTTCGGTTCTGAAAACCATGTTGAACACAATGAAAAATTCAAAAATAAATACCTCTGGACATTATTTATATCGAATGCCAAAATATTGAGATGTGATTATATCACAGTCGAATATACCAAGTTACCATCAAATACGTTGAATCATTATCGAGTAAGTTGAATTCAACTTTCACAAACCAATTCAGCAAAATACATTTATTTTATATACTATTTTCGAATCATATATAAAATACTCAAATTTCAGTAGCAAAACAAAAAATAAATTAAATATTTTTATTAAAATATCAGTTAGTTTAACGGGATAATACATTTTATCTCTTAAACAATATTTTTGTTTCAGGTCTCAATCTTGACCTTATAAAAAGTAAATTACATTAACAGAATCGTAGGTGTAATAATTGTTTATCATATTTAATTGCTTAATAAATCACGTATTAGGGTATAAAAATAATTTCATTTTGCCTGGCTTTTTCTTGGTATGGATTTAGTGGACTAAACACCTGGAAATCTGGTAAATAAATAGAGCAGACAAGGGCAATCAATTAGGAAGAAATCATACACAATTTATGCCGACAGAAGTTCATCAGTAATAACTTTTATAATGTGAATTGGTGACATGTATATGTTACCTTTAGACATAAAATCAGACCAAATGTGGCCCGAGAGTTCAACTAAATCAGCCACCAAATGGCCCACTTCCATCTTCTCAAAACTTCCCTCAGACCCACATTTTTTAATTGGCTTTATCATTTAGTGTAAAATGATGCCTTAGTTCCACGTTTGACAAATGAACTTTTTCGTTCTATAAGCCATAATTTGCGTTTTCTAAAATACATACACAGAGAATGATTTAAGCAGTGTTTGATAAATTAAAACTAAACCAAATTATTAGTGCATAGAAAATCTAGATTAAAATTTAGAGATGACATTATTAAAAGGGATAACTATTAATCTCGAATATATACCCATCATATATTCGTGTGGGTTTACAATTGAGTGTCAAACTGAAGAAGGGTCTCCTATTGTCGTATTAAGAAGTGATTAGGGGTGTGTAAAAATATCCAACCCACCGACCCGAACATTAAAAAGCTAGGTAATTTTCTAAAAAAAATTTACTCGACCTGGTCGGGTACCCGGCCCGACATTTCCCGAGTCAGGCTCAAGTCACAAAATTGTGTTTTTTCGAGTACCTGGTTACCCGAGTACCCTGTTAGTTTTTTTATTATTATATATATATATATATATATATATATATATATATATATAATATAATGTATTATTTATATTATGAATTATTAGATTTTGTATTTCGAACTTTTAAATTTTATATTCGGATGTTAGAATACGTAATTCTAAGTTTCGAACATTTAAATTTATGTATATTTTTTTAAATTAATAATTTGAAAATAAAAAAATCGGGTACCAGGTACCCGCAACATCCGGGTCGGAACACGGGCCTAGAAATCACCGACCCGGATGTTCCGGATACCCGGATTTGCACACCCCTATACGTTATTTATTTTTGTTGTCCCATTTCACCCGTGGTATTAAGCGGGAAAAACAGACCAATATTAACACATTTTTAAGAACCCGAGATGTAATAATCACGAAAAAGCAAAACCAATGCATAAAAGGAGATGTTGATAGCAACCAAATACCATGAATCCATCACATGATAGGTTATGATGATAAAATATTTTACCAAATTTGACCACCGCATCTTATTCAAGAGATATTTATATATTTGGATTTGTGAAAGCCGGCAAGAAATCGGATAACAGAATTTTAAAAAAAAAAAAAAAAAAAAAAAAAAAAAAAAAAACCTCTCCCATAAGACACTAAAAGAGGGAGGAAAAAACTCACCAAGTTGCAATATCCTTGTGAAGAATCAAAAAATTTAGATCTGCCCTTCTTTGCTAACCCGATCTTTGCTTCCACCAGCCCCGCACAGCGCACTGGGATTTAACTGTATAAGCCTAAGGGCAGTGGGTGGGTGTGCGTGTGCCGGCTGTTAAAATCAAGTTTTGTTAAAGTGCATATTGAACAAATCTTCGAGTTTGGTCCTCTTTGTTTTCAAGATAGCAAACCAGCTAGTAGTGCAGCGGGATCGCTTGACAGTATTTGGGGGGTCGGAGGAGCTGCAGGAGGTGCTGGAGTAACTGTAGTAATGCTAACCAGTTGTTCTTTGATGAATTCTTTCAACCTGTAGGTAAAAAATGTAATAAAATTCTGCCAATCCAATCTTAACTTCTTTGGATAATATGTAGCTACGTACTCGAATGTTAATGTAGGATCGCCTGAAGCAAGTGTCATACGCAACTGAGTTCTGTCCGCTGGATCTGTTTCAATTCTGACCTGAATATTACAGAAGAAACAGCTTGTAAGCAGGCACCAACGTTCCACAGATTCTAATGCACTACAAGCTCATGAATAATTTGCATAGCTGCAAGTTGTAAGACCAAGGCTCAGTTTCTTTATATATAATTCAATTATAACAACTGGCTAAGATTAACAAGCGGGTAATTTCGAAACAAATCTAGTACAATAAAACAGACGCACATAGCTTGAACAGAACATATTTCCTACCAAGCAGAGCATGCCATGTGTTTTCTCCGAGCAGAAGATTGTGCTGGCAACTAGATTATTAGGATTTGGATCCTGGAACAGAAAATCGAACAGTGAACAATGCCATATATAAATGGGCAGAAGACATTACTCAAGTGAAAGGACTTACAAGCCCTTGAGAAATCATTAGTCCAAAACTGTGGAGTAGATTTTCCATTTCCGTAAGAGCCATTGGTCTTAAACCTCTAACCTGCCCAAATTTGGAGCAAAATGACTACAGATCAGACAGCGAGTGCAGCAAAGAGAATAAACTGGAGTATAAATGACGATATCAAATAGAATGCACAGAACAAGAATCATTATATACAACAGATGTTACATTATTATACAATAGGTATGGGATAAAAAAGGTCTACATACAACTTCCTGAAGCTTCAATGGTGGTCCTGCAAGTGATCTCCATTGGGGGAAAAACTCCTCAGTAGAAACCGATATGGGCTGAAGAAACTTATTCAGCAAAGCAGGAAGATGAAGTTTGATGTTAACCTGTAAAAGGCAATGGCATAGTAAACAAACCAGCTCCTGGTGATTTAGCAGTTAATAATCTATCAGTTATCTACAAGTACCTTATTGGTTCCGAACTTGTAGGAAAAGTCAAGAACAGCTACATCCCTGCTTGGCTGAAGATTTACAACCTCAAGTGGGAATTGCACCTACAGAAACCATGAAAAGGAAGCAGAATAAACATGATGAAACAAAAGAAATTGAAGGACCAGATGACAAAAATTCATCAATAAGCATCAACATGTAACTAGTTACAAGCAAAATGAGTCTTTTCACCTGTGCTCGAGGAGGTATGGTGTCAGGCACTGATGAAAGCTCCATCTTCAAATGAGCAGGAGGCAATATCAAAGCCTGAACTGAAATGAGAGGAGATGTATTCTTGTTTCCTAAGAAAAGAGCAAGACGCCCATGATGAGCTCGCCACTCTGCTTTGATGCCAATCTGAAAGAATTTTTAGCGAGAACATCAGCATCAGCCTTTTCAAAGCTTCTAATGGAGTCATAAAACCAACTTGAAAAACCAAATTAGTATCCTAGAGTTTAACCTCAGGAAATAATAGAAAATAAAGGATAACAACAATATAGAATGTGAAAAGTAAGAGGTTAGTACCTGAATGTAAGGGTCTTCGTATAGAATACCGCTATCTTTGAAGCACAAAGCACGGAATCTTTCGGCAATATTTACTATCGGCTGCAGATGCAAGTAGTGACATCAACTAGTGAAACTAATAACAATACAGAACCACTTAGAATCACATGCAATTTTACAATGACCAAACTTGTAGCTTTTGTTTGGAAAGTGGCACCTGAATTGTATTTGTCTCCTCTGCTACAGGTACTATGGCTGAAGCATCTGGACCACTATCCAATCCAGGGGTTGCATTATGCTCATATTGAACAGCAGCACCAGGAGGGCCCTCAATAGCCAGTGGACCCAGAAGATCACTAAGGAGGTCTGCCGAAGGCGCTTGTGGATCTACTTTGCTTATATTTACATTTTCCTGAGAAGGAGCTCGCTCTATTGAATGATCCTGCCAAGATAATGAAGTGTATATTACTGAAAATTAGACTTAACAATAATAGCTACACAAATCTGTATATCTATAACCTATAATGTAAAGAACAGATTGAAATCCTTTTAAACTGACACAATTTTTTTATTATTGTATTTCCACTTTGCCATTTCAAATATTTATATCAACAAAATTTATCCAATTTGATAAGTAATGTTATATTTCCATTAAAAGACTTCCATTAACTGAAATATTTGATTAACAAGGTTTATCCAATCCATAAAAATTCTAATTCAATGTAATCATTACATAATGTCAAAATAAGTTTATGGTAAAATGTAAATTTCAGTTATTTGCAAACAGCATATGCAATCATATGTTTAATGTATATAATGAATTTGTAAAAAACCATAAAGAGAAAAAAGATATACATTTTCAATGAGTGTGGCAATAGCAACTAGTATATCAGAAACCTACACAACGAGAGCCACTGGGATTACAAAAGAACAAACCTCAGTATCATCCATGCTGGGTGCTTTAACCAGGCTAAGCTGGCCAACAGAAACTGGTGGTGGTGCCCTATTAGCAGGGTGTTGGTTAGTTACAACTAAAGCATTTGATGGTTGCTGTTGAGCACGCAACTTGATGGCACTTTGCTCTGCAGTGCCACCCTCAGCATCTTCAGCCTTTTTGATCAACGAAGACTGTGATTTGAGGACAATAGCATAGTTTAGTCATCATCCGAATCAAGAATATGCATATACCTCCAGCAACTCAAAACTAGAGCAGGCAGCTTCTATACAAATATTGCAAATTACACAGACCTGACGCTCAGGAAATTTAGGCATTTCAGCCAAAATATCCATTAGAGCAGCACCTTTCCGACTCAATGCAAAATATTCAACAGCTCGTTGTTGTATCTCTGCGTCAATGCAGCTCTCATATCTAAATTAACAGTTACAAAAGTGTGTTGAGCAAATCACACTAGTTTGATGACAATAAAACCAAAAATTTTAAAATTTCAAACAAATTATAGATGAAATGTTGAGCAACCAGAGAGAAAATTATGCTAAACTAAATCTCACTTGGTGAATACTGCCCAAATTTGATTTCGCAGTACTTGATCAGGTGGCTGAGTGTGTATTAAGATCTTAGCATAAGCTGATAGAAGAATAGGAATGGTAGTAGTTCTGAAATGTGATATACAATATAGTAAGACACTAAAATAATAAAGAATAAGTATTTATGAAACATGGAGAATTAGTGATAAAAGGCTCTTACCTTACTGTAGGAAGCTTCTCATGTATGATGCTAAAGATTTCTTTTGGAGTACACCCAGGTCGTCTAGCCAGAAGGTGGCTGTATTCTCCAAGAATATAAGCACAGACCTGTTCGGTACAAACAAATACAAAAATAAACTTACAAATCTCTGTCCATAAAATGTACCATATACTGTCTCCATGCCTGCAAGCTCATCCTGAAACAAAGAACTATAAATTATACGAACCTTGACCATTTTTTCATGTACAGCGGGCTTGTCAAGATACTCTTTCGCTTTTGCAGCTGCATAAGTCTGGTCATAAACATGAACATTTCAGCTGAAAACCACCAAAAGAAGAATATCTTTTTTCTGTTATAATGTAGCACAATTAAATGCGTTGGACTTTCTGATCACCTGTAGGTCATCGTTGTTAGTAACAAACTGCACAACACGGAACCATATGTCATCACTAATGAAGTCTCCTGCCTTTTCAATCAACTGAAGAATCACATCTACATACCTGAAATGTTTAGGCAAACTAGTTTATACGGAATAACAACCAATCATTTGATGAAGCTACTGTACGCAAAAGAGAAGAAAACACTGAGGTAGAAAATCTTCATTATTAAGGATATGAGTTAATACCCTGCTTCCATCCAACATGCTTACCATGACAGATCAGGAGCAAACTTCTCAGCAAGAATGGCAGCTTTGAGTGACAATTCCTCAAGCATTGTGAAATCAGCTGAGCTCAGATACTGGTAAAGAGATGACAGTCAGCAACATTCTCATCTCATACCTGAGCATTTGAGTAGCTATATAGAAAATAAATTATTTGAGGAATCATTCAAAGTAATAGTTTTTCCATGTTCAAGACTTAAGCACCTGCAACAATTCTTCAACAATGTCCTTTGCGTTTGTTACATCACACATACCATAAAGCAAATCAAGAGCTCGCCTACAGATACTGGAAAATTCGCACGGGCATTAGTCAAAGAAAATGAATCTTATGAACATACAACTCAAAGCACATATAGTTCCATGTTTAGAAATTAAGGCTTTAGGTACAGATGAAGGTTTAAGTCTTGAATAAAGTTGGTAACTTGTCATTTTAACTGGTCAGATTTGAAACTCATAACAAGAAAACTATATAAGGTGATTTTCGAGCAAGGAACACTTGGCATGTCTTAGATGACGCCAACTGAAGTTACATATATTTGAGCCTGTATACAAATAATTCACAGAAGAGAATCATAGCAATAACAATTTAAGTGCAATAAATACTCAAAAAATTGCAAAATAAGAAACTCAACCTGATATCAGGATCCTTCAATGATGTGATAATTTGTGCCTGATGTCTTTTTATAATCTCTTGCACATCAGTAACTATTAGCATCCTAGCCATATTTTCCTGCAACCAAGCATTTAAAATCTATAAGTAAATCACAGGTTAAATATAACCACCCCGATCTGGCACATGCAAACGTATTTTATAGTCTGCTAGCAAGATCATTCAAGGAGAACTAAGTAACTATGTTTCCATAACTTACCAAACCAAGATATCTAATATTTGGTTCACGAACAGCAATGAATTTCCCAAGAAGGGCAACACACTGAGACAACATCTCCTTTTCAGCATCAAGATGCATGACCTGTAATAAGGAGAGCAAATGTACAACACAACTCAAGAAAGAAGTCCTTGAACATGATTAGTAAAGAAGAATAGTGAGTTGGATATTAAGTTATTTAATTTAAATGATTTACACGCATAGAGGAATCAAAAGAGGGGTAAACTATTAGCTAGAAATAAGTTAAAGAGGCAAGAAAGCAGATAAGTTACTCCTGAAACCACTATGCTTTTCTTTCCTCATGTGCATGTACAGAGTAAGGTTGTCATCATCCATATACTTCTATTTCATATTTACACCAGGGCAGGAAAGAACACATGAAAGTAAAAAGGCGCATAATATTTCTTTTCATGGGATAGAAGACATTTTTTTTTTGATAAAATGGGATAGAAGACATGAGACCCACCTATAATACTTATTTTGATTAATTTCAGCAAGATTTTCATACTAGTGTCTATTTGAGCTTGACAGACTCGATCTTTCTAAAACCACTTAATGCCAAAAAAATGTCTTTTATAATAAATTTCACATGCTACAGCCAAAATTCAGAAGTAAACTCACAAGAGCAAGGGCTTCAAATAGGACAGCATGTGATGCATTATTCTTGTTAACATTTTTCACAACATCTGTTCCCATTAATATATGTTGTAGGACCTGAAATCAGCCATTCAAGTTCCATTAATATCAAAATAACCTTAACAGAAAACAAAAACTATACAGGAAAGTTTAAACCTCAAATAATGTCCTTCTCGAATTTGGATCTTCAATGGTAGGAAAATACTGAAGAGCCCTCATTGTCTTAACCTATTATAACAGAACGATAACACCAAATTAAAATCTACCAAATATGAGTCAATGACAATTACTGATAAAAAAAATCATCAACTCTAACATAGAGATAGGAAAAACAAGGGAAAGAATAGGACACAATTACCATATAATCAAGTGCAAACATATCCAAGAGAACAAGATTCGCTTGAAACAAACTTATATACACAAATTAGACCAGGCGCATGACTTATTTCTGATCTAAGCATTAAATTCATAGGAGTTATAAAAATGAAGTAGGGCAAACCTGCAACCAGGGAGATGGGATACCATAATAAGTATATTCCTGTGGAACATCTTGGTTCCTTGCAAGGCGTTCCAATATTTTTACACACTTTGGAAGGCAAGTCCAATAAGCTTCATGATTATTTGAGACCAAAGAAACAAGAAGGCTCATAGAAGCTGTCAAAACACCAAGATCACGCTCATCTAAAAGCTGAGCCATCCGATCCGCCCTAAAACATAGGGCAAGAAAACTAATTCAGCAGAAGCACATCTTAATATCATAAAACAGTCAATTGGGATAAACTTGTTAACATTCTAGCATACCAGCCATCAACATTGACAACATCGGGACTTTTCCTAAACAATCGCAGTAAACATAATGCAGCTTTTTTCCGTACAAGTGGTCTGCAGCTGCTAGACAGCTGAAACATAGATTCAGCAAGTGTAAAATAATTTTCTAAAAGAAGAAGTATAATGTAACAAGTTTCTGGTTGATCTTACAATTAACTTTTGAACATCAGGTGCCAAAGACTCAGCAAATTCTCTCCCACCAATATTCCCAACCTACAAAGTTAATTCAAGAAAAAAAGGTAGATGTAAGATCACAACAACAACAATATCAAAAACCTGAACAAAAGCAATATGGAAATCATCCCAACAAAAGGTAACAAAAGAGTAACCAGAACATCAATAACTAAAAACTTTACAGACTATAAAGCAACATCCAAGGCCAAAGCAATAGAACACTGAGTTCCTTAGTGGCACTTGATTAACAACAAAATCAAAGTAATATAACAACCTGTTTCAGATCCACAAATAATGAGCTACGATATAAATCATAAAGTGATGAATAATATTTGGGTAAGTGAAAACAAACTCCTCTTGAGAAAAGAGAAAAAGAAAGTTCTCAATCACGTGTCTTAGACAAATCATACTTTCCGTATGCATCTCTATTATGTAAGCTTGGTGTTCGATGTTGTAAATTACAAACACTTCCATCCCATTCTAATTACATTAATGATGTCTAGAACCTCAAACAGTTTCTTATCCCTACCAAGGTTAATGCCAGGCACTGAGAAGTCTCATTTCGACCAATTATATCATTGCGTACAGTGTTGATGGCTAGTCTCAGAAAATCATGATTTTCATTGAGCAAACATGATGTCACAATGTATCCCACCTGAAGCCAATTATAGAGCAAAAGTTAAGAAAACCATAGGGAAAAATAATTAGAAGAGAAAATGTTAACATGCATATTATAACATCAACCATTTAGAGCATGATAATATATCCTTATTACAATAAACCCAATAAGCTACATTATTTGAAAAGGTTACATGAATATTCATATATTATCCAGGCTTCAAAAATACAAAGTTAAATTGATATCGTGAGCCCCATTCAAATACTCATAAGGATCAGTATTCTACAAAATGATTATGATCTATAGTGCTTACAAAGTACCAATCACTTGCCAGCTTTACTGTTGCAGAAAACTCGTTACATGTAACAATAACTGATATGAATATAAAGAATAGAGATTTCGTGGTAGTGCAGATTCTAACTACTGAAACGTAGCTGAGATCTTGCAACAAGTTATATTGTTTATACATTCAAGTTTTGTTGGCCCCCTCTCCCCCTTTCTTTCTCAAAGGGAAACGATGAAATGATAAAAAAAAAAACTTTCGGCTTTGGTTTACAACTATTCTCGTTTACTGTTCTTTCGAGCTCTTAAATAAGGATGTCACTTCTAGGGCATAGGTCCACCAGGTTTCTCACCATTTAATGTCTCGTGGATATGACACTAATCAAATTAAAGAGATAACAAAAATGGATCTGACCTGCTTTTCTGGATACTTTGGTGCAGATATCAAGGAAACAGCTTCCATATGACCAAAATCGACGTCATAACCCAGCATGTAAATGTAAAGCATTTTCCAAACATATTTCTTCTTAGCATATGGTGTCAATCCCTGTCAGAAGAACATAAGCTTTCAATAACAAACTGCTTGCTCATCTTGGAAAGGCACTAAAAAACCATCATTAACAAAGCACTAAATCGTTCCATGAAAAAGTTTCTAGAGGGAATGATCAGTGTTTGGAAAATTTAGGCTCTAACATTTAAACTTCACATGAAAAAATGGGCTAAACTCCTCCATAATAAATTGACTATGAAAGCAGGGGAAAAAAGAAAAGAAACTTCATGTAGAAACAAGGTTACTTTCTTGGAGATGGAGACCCCACCAAGATTCACCCAAAAACAATTAATATATAAATATTCAGATTCCAGTAAAAAAATGTAGAACATAACATTCTAGAATGTAGGAAACAGGAGCAAATACTCAATTGAGAAAGAAAAAAAAAGAAAAAGTAAATTCAATCGAGGAAGAATCTTTATAAAGTTGAAGGTGTTATAGATAAAGAAAAACTTCAGGTGTTGAGCAATTGTCTAGTGGGGTGGTGCAAGGACTTTGTCAAAATTGGTCATCTCGCTAGACAAATGCAAGCGAAGGGCCTCACTGGGTTCACCTTAATGAGAGCTGCTGGTAATGCGATTTTAATGATTTTCGAAGACAATGCTTCATTGAGAAGTGTGGAGAACGATAAATCAAAGATTCTCGCAGAGTGGTTCTCCATAGTCAAAACTTGGTCAGAAAGTTTGGTAATGGAGTGTCGCCGAGTATGGTTAGTTTGCGAGGGTGTTCCTTTTCACGCATGGAATTGGGATACTTTCAAGAACATTTCTGAGAAGTGGGGTTTATTACTAGCTATCGACGAAAGTTGTCATTCTCCATCAACCTTTGATCGGGCAAAAATGCAAGTCCTCACAAAGGCTGATTCGAGAATTGATGCGTTGGTGGAATTGAAGGTTGGTGACAACTTCTTCAAGGTCATGGTGCATGAGATAGAGCCTTCATTCAAACCAAACTCTTGGGCTCCTGAAGAAGACGAGTCTCATTGATCTTGTCTCTTCAATTGTGGTTTTGTTTTAGTCTTTACGGTTGTAGGTGTTGCTTTTAATTTGTATCATGTTCTGTTGCGATGTTTTATTCCTACTGCTGGTGGTGTAATTAGGAGTAAGGTGATTAGACTGTGACTTTGGATGAGGTCATTTGAAGTTAAGGTCTTTGTTGTAAAGGTGTACATCACCATGTGAGGTTACTCCGTGGTGTCTTTTGTATCGGGTAATATTATCAATAAAATTTGAGGTACTCTTTTCTTCCTTCCAATGTTCGTTAACATACTTTTAGTATGTGAACGAATACGAAGGGAGTTTTTAATGAGACCTCCAACTTCTATCAAAAAAAAAAAAAGCAAATTCAATTTATGTTTCTTCTTGAGGCTTGAATTTGATTTGTATGAACCTATACAAATCAAACATGACAAACTAGTAAGATGATATGACTAAGGGAAGAAAATTTCTCAACAAGGCAAAATTTCTATGGTTTGATAGTATAAAACTTGGGAAGGGAAAAACACAAAATAGTAATACTGTAAAATTTCACAGTAATCTTACTAAAGCACAAATTAATCTTTTCAACTAACAACAACATTAAAGGAGGAAGGACGTGTTCATCAGGTTGGGAACCAAATGTATTTCCCCTCAACATAGAACAAAATTAGGGAATGCAAATGGAAAAGGCCCAGCTATGCACTTCATAAAAAGTAGCCACAAGAGGAGGTTGATGGAGATGGAGATGGAGATGGAGATGGAGAGGAGAGAAAGACGCTCTAATATCGAGCAAAAGCAAATCAAATGCAAGGACCTCTTCTATCAGAAGTAACAAGATTTATAAAATCCAAATAAAAAGAAAATTTTCAGTTTCAATATGCCATGGGATTGATAGATAGGTTCATCAACTTATGGAAACACATCTTAGAAGGATAAATCCTCACTAGCACACGCAATTTTTAAATTTTGACAAGTGTTTGGCTCATTAAACGTGGTTCTGCATGAATATACATCTGCCTGACCTTCACATCCAAGCTGGTGAGAACTGACTCTTTAGGAAGAGACTAAGACCTCATTAAGCTGTGAGGAAACTTATTAAATGAAACCTAGTTGCTTGTAACCATATATAACTTAGGCTTCTAATAATTGCAATATGCTTATTAAGAGTTCTCTACTTCATCATGTAATGCCCTTAACATGAGTTCAAATTGTAAACAGTTTCTCAGGATTGGCAAGCAAAATACTGTCTAATACACTATATGGATTTAGAATTCTTAAGATGTATGACCCAATCCTACTGCAAATCTGCATAAAATACGATTAACACATAGGTTTAGTCAGCAGAAAAATGGAAGTGCTTATGAAGATCGCAAATCCTCACCCTGCTACTACTGTTATGAATCAATGAGACATCCTTTTCCTAGAAAACATATACGCAATTTATTTGCAGTAGGTTGCTGTAAATAATCTACCGGCATTGAGAAAATCAAAACACTTATAGCGCTTACAAACGGATAGACTTCACAGCTTAACTAAGTTCACGTTTTTCTCTCGAACGAAATAAAAAATAACGAAGGAGCACATAAAACTTAAAAAGTAAGTCCGATCATTTCCAAACACGGAATTTAAATAGAGAGGGAAAAAAGAAGCTTTGACACCCTAACCTTTTCTTTTTTGAATCGATTACGGATGTTGCCGAGCTCTTTATCGACGCGTAAGCGTTCTAGCTCTTTGTTCTGGCAATTCCGAACGTCGCTGATGAAAATTGCGAGCCCTCTCATCCCGTGCATTGCCATTCCGGTTTACTGATCAGATACACTTCTTCTTCCTTTGGGATCTACCTCTCAATTTTCCAGATCTTTCTCTCTCTGTTTTCTCTTTCAAGGGCAACGGAGAAATCGTCCCGGCATCTCAAATTTGCAATGGAGACATAAATGAGCTGTAAAAAGAAACGAAAATAGAAATATCAATTTTGGAAATTAAAAGAAAACCGATAATATATACTTTTGTCTTTTCTGTTCTAAAACGAGCAACAAAATTTGGAAAAAAAACCTGGAGATAAAATTGTTTCTTAGTCGGATCGGTTTTTGATTTGAATTTTCATCTGATATATATATCCATGTTTCAATCGGGTTGAGCTTGGGCCGCTCAAATTTTATTTTTATTTTTATATTTTTTTTACCTGCATTTACATTTTATTAGTTCTAATAATATTAAGAAATATTAATTCTAAACTTTTATCAATCATCCAAACCAATATTGAAACTTGAAACTTATGATAATTTCAAAAAGACTTAATTCTATCATCTCTTCATATACATGTTGATTACAAGTTAATATTTATTCATATTGTTTTTAATCATCGATGACGAATACATTATACTGATACAGTTGTTTGAATCCAAAATCTATAAAAATAACAATAAATACTTCATTTAACTACTAGATTCGTTAGATGGATTATCTACCTATACCTACCTATTAATGGTTTATTGTTAAATTCATCTTCGTTGGTACCAACTTTCAACTCGGCCACGTTTACAACATTCTTTTCCACCAAAACTCATCTTAAAAGAGTCAAGAGAGCTGATTATGGCCTTTTGTCTCCTTTTCCATCTGTAGTATACATTGGTGTGAATCGTCTATTTGGGTGAGAGTTAAAAGCTAGTCGTTTTCGAGAACCTTGCTATCTCCCTGTGTAACTGCTATGTCTTGGTTAAAGTTGGCAGCTGAAACAAACAACACAGCGCTGATTAATAAAAATGTTAAAAAAATGTTTAAATATACCAACAACGAGTTGGTATGAAGTGAATCACTAAATTTCTTGATTAAAATTAGTGATTCGATCCCAGACATGCTATCATCTACGTTCCATCCATTCATAGTGGTACATATCGAAGTACCAAATGATGCATTAAACCTATATCAAAGGTGGTACATATCAAGTATCAAAAAATAATAGTAACAATCAATTAGTGTAGTGAAATGAGACACTAGATCCCTTAAATAAGATTAGAGATTTCAAATCATGACGATTGTGAATAGAATAAACTGGATTAGAAGGATCACCCCTACTTTTGTAGTATCCGATCTAGATTAATCTATCTATAGATCTAAATCCGATCGGATTTAAATGGTTATAAAAAAAGTAACAGTTGTAACAAAAACAATATCAAGTAGCATTTCCAATCAAATGCATCTCCAAAAGAACAATTTGATAGTACAAGTTTTAAGCACAATTTCTATTAAGGAATAGTCTAAATCTACATGGAAAGGGGAAAGAATTACATCCATTCACCATGAGAGCCTTTGCCTGCAACATGTACCCTGAAAATGGGGTGCATGAGCGAATTTCTTCTTACAAAACTGGAGTCAACCCCTAAAGAAACCGTCCCCAACCCAAGCTGGATCACTTCAAAACGGTATCGTATAAATGTCTTATGAACGAGGAAAAGCAGCCGTTTGGCAAAGTAATACGAGGAAGAAAGAATTTCATGAGAAATCAATGGAAAACAAATTCAGAAGGTTATTTCAACTTCAGGCATTTTTTTCGATGGCTTTGAAGCTCTTCCATTGATTGCAATATTCCCCACTCCAGCCTCCATGGACTCTCTGTCATCCTTCTCTTTCCTTTCCTTTTGAGATGTACTGTCATCTATGCACTGTTCATGAACTGTTGTTGAAGGTTCTAGCAGTCGAGGGCCAGCACTGATCCATGGATGGTTGAGGCATTGAGCAGCAGTGGGTCTCTTTTCAGGGGCAAAATCAAGTATTGGAATGAGGAAGTCAGCCATGTCTGTAGCATCATGCTCGCTAAAATCATACTTTTCCATAAGGACCTTATAGAGAGGCCAGAAACGTAATCGGCGAATATGCCTCAAGTCTCCATGTCTGTTGAAAAAATCCCGAGAGTAGTGTCCACTTAATGCAATCTGGCGAAAATTGTTGGACACTCAAACAGTGAGATTTACAGCTACAATACCTTGAACTACAAAGTTTACAGTGCAAAGCATTCAAATATTAACTTCATTCCCTTGAAACAAAGGGAGGATGACAAATTCATTCCTTCGTGAGGCATGTGTTGTTCATACCTTGCGTGGCATCACTCCAAAAAGCTCCATCATCAATGCCAAGTGATCCTGGAAATGAAAGATGTACGTCAAGGGGAAAAGGTGACAAGAAAATCTGCAATGGCCTACAGAACTGGACATAATTAATATTGAAAAAAAAATGAAGGGTGGGGCTCATCTCAATTTATGGTGGTCTCTCGATTTCTAAGAAATTCTTATGGTTTTCACTGTTGCAAAAATAGGAAACAAGTTGGGAGTCACATCGCTTGTAGCATACAGAAAGCTTACTCCAGACATAAAATAGAAGCAAACTTTATCTAGTGTACATCTAAAGCTAATGAAAATTTATTTCTCCTGTCCTTTTTCAAGGAGGTAAAGGTGTAAGGATTATTGGATACTTCATATGTAAACAAATGCAAATCAGAACAATCTTAAAACGAAAACAAGCATGCATCAAGCAATGCGAGTTCTTGTATTCGCTATGGTGCAAAATGTTCCACAGAAGATGCTGATATTAACTCGTATAGTACATGACCATCATACATGAGTAACCACAAGGTCCACCGTAGTTGGGACTTGGGACTAAGAGGCACACAAGACTAAGTATCCAACGAATTAAAACATAAATGCAAGAACGAAAGTAAAATGGCTTCTTCATAACTCATCTCGTTCGTAGTTTTCACCACTGTGAGGATCAAAAAGAACATCACCAGTAGCCAGTTCAAAACAAATACAAGCAAATGACCATAAGTCCGCTGAAGTTGAATACTTGGATCCAAGGATAACCTCAGGACATCTATACTGCCTGGTTTGAATATCATTTGTAAATAGTTTATATGTCCAGCAAGCATTGCCAAAATCAACCAGTTTCCATTTAAGATCAGCTTCAGCCAACAGTCTTTTCCTTGTTGCACGGCTCCCCCTTTTATGGCTCTCCTTTCCTCGGTTACCATTGTTGATTCCATCACTCCTTGCATCGTCTTTAGCCACAGAACTTTTTGGTTGTCCTTCACCACAAGCTTCATTTGATTTCACGTCAGCATCGGTGCCTTCTGTACAACCAGTCTCGTAATCTGTCTCAGTTTCCTCCAAAGGTTCCTGTCCTGCACCATCTCGAGCTGCCTTCTTAGCCTTCTTACGAATCTTCTTTTTCTGATTCCTTATCAAATCTCCATTCGAACTCTTCATTTCTTTTGAAGTGACAGTCTCCACGACAACCTTATCCTTCCTAGAAGGAAGGATGAGAAATGCACCAGATTTCCTAGGATCTTTCGATGGATCAATCATTGACAACAGCAACACATTCTCTGGCTTCAAATCAGTGTGAATGATTGAAAGTTCACGGTGTAAGTAATCGAGACCCATCAAAATATGACGGCAAATCTCTTTAACCATGTGAAGTGGAACCCCCCGATAATCACTGTATTTAATAAGGGTCAAAAGGTTATCCCCCAAGTACTCAAAAACCATACACATATGGTTCCCATTAGACACTGAATGCTTAAAATGATCCAAGAGCTTCACGACACACTTTTTATTGTCCGGATCTCCCTCAGCGATCTGTTTGAGGATCTTTATCTCGTCCATTGCTGCCTCAGTGTAATGCTGAGCACTCTTTTGAATCTTCAAAGCTACATAACGCTACAAACAATAAATTCTCATCCAGTTAACGAGTCGAACAATGGAAATCAAAAGGCAATGGCTGATCCAGTTTTACATTACGATGAAATTAAAGGAACAAAGAAGCTTATAACCTAAACAAGTAACAAAACCATATATAATCAGCAGCAAGAATCATAATGGAAATGTCTGAACTAGAGAACTATATGTAAAAAAAGATAAAATTATCTCTCATGGGAAAATGAAGGGCATCTGAATCTCAATTACAAGGAGGCAAATCTTGGACTCTTCACAACATTAGCTGCAGAAATAAGACCCTTCAATTAACCAAGAGCAATGCCCATTCCAGCATCTTTTACAATGACATCTTTCAATGTTCTCATACACACCCAAATAAGATATTCCATAAGAAAATTCAAAAGTATCCCATTTTCCCCTAAAATAACAATTCACCTTACTAACGATTAACCAACTTTCCATAAAAAAGGATAAAAACTTTTACCATAAGAAAGAAGGGACAAAGAGAGCTGAAAAGTAATAAAGAGAAGAGGGAAAATACCGATCTTTGAGTATCCCAAGCGAGCCAAACGGTGGAGAAATGACCCCAACCAAGCTTGCTCTGAATCACATAGCAACCATTCTTGAAAGTGTCACCGATACGCACCGTATGGTACCCTCCCCTTCTGTGATCTTTAGTCCCTTCATCTTCCGATGAGTAATCACTGGCTTCACTTCGATCTCCATTCTTATCCTCAGCCATCTCCAAAACAAATTGGGTATTGAAATCTAAAGGTTCCGATTAAATTCAAATGAGCTACCAGAAGGCTGAAGAGATTGAGTTCATGAGGGGAGAGAAATGATTAGAAGAAATTAGGGTTTCCGGGGAAATTTGCAGGTAAAAAAACATAAAAGGAGACCCTCCCAGAAGGTTGTGATGGCACTTGTAAGCTTTGGGGACTTGTGGGGAAGTGTTCTTGTGGTTTCAGCTTCACGCGCTACGACTTGCGTCTTTTCTTTAGATTTAAGTGAGGAGGTTGAGTTTGTCCTAAATATTTATGTACCATACCATCTTGGGTCCCACGCTTTGCCTTGTTGGCAAAGTCATCCTCCATGCATTCTTTTGTTAATTTTTTAACCATCTAACTATGTTATTTTTCTATTTTAATACTTAATTTTTTATTTAAATAATATTTCATCTCAATTATTTAAAAAATGACACATAATAAATTTTACAATAAATCTAAATTTTATCATTTTTCTGACGATAATTCATTATAATTCATTGTTAATCTCTCTCATCTTTTTAATTTTATAATAACTTTTTTTCGACAAGTAAAACTTACATAGATATAATATTATATTCATCTATTTTTCTTAATTATTAACACACATACATATTGTATATACGTAATTGCTCGAACTTAAAATCACTAAAGGCAACAACATTCTTTTTAATCATTAAGACCGTTTTCATGAATTCAATATAATTATTTCCTCCCTACTTTTATTTATATTATGGTAGTCATCTTTATGATTTTGCATGTTGTATAGCAAAGAAGGGTGGAGAGACCTCCAAAACTAAAAGAAAGGAGAAGCCTGTAGAAGACTAAGCTAGAAAGTTTGTTTGTGTTTTGAGACTTAAGGTAACACATTTTATACTTTGAAGTGTTTTATGCATATCTTGAATGTGGTTTTTTGAGTGTTGAATGTATGGATATTGGTTGTTTTGAGTGTAAATATGTTTGGATAATATTAATGAAATTCGAATTTTAGTTTGGTGAAATCTTTCTAAAAGAAAAGTTATTCAAAAATTTAAAATTTAACAAAAACTCTTATAAAAATAATTAGGAAGTGATCAATGAATCTTTGTAACCGGACTTCAATCTAATTTTGTTTGGAATAAATCCCAACTAATTCCTATATGTATTTTAAAAAAAATGATTTTCGAACGATGAAAGGTCAGAAAATCTAGACACCATAATTATCATAAAACAGTTCTAACAGCGACTTAGAAAAATTCACAAGAAAAATTAAAAAGTGAGCCTTATATTTCTATATACAAAAGTATAGATTCTTCTAAAACAAACAATTCTCTATCTCGACCAACTAGTTCAATCAGGTGCAAGGCCTAAACAACATTAGGACTCTCTTTCGTAAGGCATGTGATATCAAACATATCGACCAAGGCCAATATGTGTTCAGGTCTATGAACACATGCAACAACTCGTAGCTCAGAAAGTGCATTATGTTTCTTTGCTGATAGCATGCGTATTTTCTTAAAACAAGGTCGTAGAGATACTTCACCAGGATTGGGGTTATAGTTGCATTTACTAGAATGGAAAGTGTCAACACACTAAAAGTTGCATCTGACAAAACCTGGGGGAAGCAATGAAAAGAAGATTAGTGTTTTGTTAAGAAAAATACCGAATAGAGACACATGGATTCAACTGAGATCGATGTTGATTCAGATTACCTTACTGTCTTTGAAACTAGATAAATATGAGAGCTCCACGATGCCTTTGGTGCTCATAATGAGAGCCAATGCCATGGAGTCTCTCAATGGAATCCTGCTCCAACAATAAGCTACGAAACATGATGTGAATTTGGCAAGGATTGTGGCAATAACAAAAACGCATTTAAATTTGACTGCAGACGGATCAGCCAACATCTTCTCTGGATGAACTCTCGTTGTAGATGTGGTTACGTAGATTACTAGAAAGATACCATTGGCTAAACAGTAAACTTTTCTACAATGGTAGATCCTAGTGGCAGTCCATCAGGGACAGCTACACCAACGAGGAAAGCCCCGGGTAAAGGACTATGCTCGAGCCAATTGGAGAACATACCAGATGCTAAAGCTAACATCACGATGATCATAATGTACACTTCCTCGATAGGTTTGCCTTCGGGTGTTGTTCTAATTACCCAAAACATCCATGGACGAACCACAAGAAAAAGAACTAAAAAAGATGGTAGCTCCTGCCCGCTCCACAACCAACGACGGTGACACAGCCAACATCGTGCCAAAGAAAAGAATTCATATAGAACTAATTTGCTCAAGTCACTTACGGCTGCCGCTGATAGGCCAGTCGTCCCAGCTCTCAATTTATGATCTTGAGCTCGTCGAGAAGCCATGCGATGACTGAAATATATGTCACGGATTCAGTGATTGTCCCCACAAAATGTTCCAATTCTATTCTTCCTTCACTTTGATTAGGCATTCTGTAGGCCTCTTGAACAATTATACTAACCACAAGATGACATAAAAGAGAGACAATGCCAATCACTATGGCTTTCTGTGTTGTCGTGAACGCCAACCTCGCGTCCATTTTCACTCCCATCAAAAACAAAAATATGGCGAAACCAAGCCCTGCTGCAGTATCCAGGGCTTCTAATACTAATTCATTTTGAATAAATATGTTCCGGAAACCTTCTATTTGCCCCAGCACTGCAGGCCCCATGATCATGCCAGCCTAGTCAAAAAAAGGTAAACGAAAGATATTAGTCACAAATCAAGGTAGGCTTTCTCTTTCTTGCCATGCAGGGAAACTCAAGATATTTACAAAGAGAAAGAGAGAAACAAAGGTGTAGGTAATTAATTAACATACAAACATTTGTGAGGCAAACATGGTGATGCCAAGAGGCTTGAGGATGGCATAAACAAGATGAGTGACCACGAAAATCAAGAGCACCTGTAACTCGAGAAGCGGTAATGAATACGCGAGAATCACCGAAGGAGAAGTCAGGTTTTCCCAGGTGCCTACAGAATTGACCTTAGGAGGTAAAGGCAAGCAAACTTCGAACATCTCATTCCCATAGGGAAGAGGTGGTGCTTCAGCCATGACAATCGCTAAGATTATTGTATTAATGAAGAGAAAGTATGAGAATCGGATATAATGCTATCATCAGGCTTCAAATATAAAGTTATATACATTTTCATTGTTTTTTCTTTCTTTCTTTCTAGTTTTTATTTTATTTTCAAAATGCTAAGTATAATTTCTACCATGATTAACTAAGTTTTCCATAGTCGAAAGCTAAAGCAATGACTCGATTCTAAATTGTGAGAATCGAAAAGCATATTATACCCTCAAGGGTTACATTTTCAGTTTTCGAAAATCAAAGATCGGTAATCGATCATCCTTTTAAAATCAAAGCGATTTCATTTCAAAAAGTGCACTATGGAATTGAATTTCAATTTCGGTTAATAGTTGGGAGGAAGGATCGACCTGTGGCATATTCGACTTCCTGTGAACACACTTAGCGGCGGTCCGCTAAGGGAAACTGAAATCGGGTTAGATTATCAATTGAGACGATAGAATCCGAGTCGATTTTTCAAGAACTTAAAAACGTTGAATTAGTAAGCGATTTTCATTCACAAAAGAGTCGAGATCTAAAAATTGATTTTAGATTCTCGATTTATTTGGGAGAAAACAATTTATAGGGGTTGGACCCTATAGACTATAACCGGCATGAGCCCGGAGGTAAAATCCTATTCAATGATCTATTTGAATCGAGGCAGAAGCTTTAGCCCAAGATTGATTTAATCATATTGAATCTTCGTCTTTAATTTGATTTTTACTTTATTTTATTTATTTAATTATTTTTATCTTTAATTACTTCAATTTCTCATCAAATCCCCCTTTTATTGTCCTTTATATCACGCCTAAATCGGAATCAAGAGCAAGAAATTCATCAGTCTCTAATCCATGTAGATCGACCCTTACTCTCCCTATATTATTCTTTATTTAACTTTATTTTGAGATTAAGACTATTTTTATTTTGACATCAGAACGACACGCTGTCAGACTTAAATATCTTACTAAACTTTTAAAATTTTGGACTTTTTGGGCTACTCAAACTAAATTTAGTGTCTATATTGTATCAACTTTTCTTGTAAATTCTTTTTCCGAATAAAGGTGAACTTTTTATTTTGCATATGTGTAATAGGTATCGTTTGGGTTACACTATTCTAAAATTTTTAAACAAAACAATAAAAATTTATCTCGTATCACCTATAATAAATAAAATTTTCAGTATTTGAATTTGACATAATCTAATCTACATAATTATGTTGTTGCACAACTAGAATAGATGCCCTGCTACTAATATCTATGGATTCAAGAAGGTCTCCGATGACCCCTAGCTCAGGAAACTCGCTCCATTCTGATAAACCTATTGTTTGGACCGAATCTACACCGTAGCGTCTACCTACAATGATCAAATCATAGTCACCTGCAATCGATTGAATGATCCTCGATGATTGTTGTCCATCTTTTGAAACTTGTATTATATACTTTACGCAGCAACCATGACTATCGTCATTTTGCTTGATATCTTTCAATGTCTCAGCATCCAACATACTGTCCCAGTCTATGACATTCCGACAATTTTCATCAGGAATGAGATGGATCACGGTCAGGTTAACTCTAGGGTCACGAGCCATTCGTTTGACTAATGTTAGAGCCTCCTGATCGTCTTTACCACCTAAGAAGATAATTCCAACATTGTAGGTTGAGGCCGACGAAGTCAACAATTTCCTCCTCCAGTCGACGAGGATCCCTGCTGAGCAAGGGGCTCAGTCTAGGACGTTGCAATTCATGTTCCTTATCGAATTGTTTTCATCTTCAATAGATCCGTCAATAGATCATTTTCTATGAAATGGAAGAAGTATGAAAAATGCTTGCTTGTCAAGGGCTAGAGTGCATACATCCTCGTGAATCAATTTACTCGGAGAGATTGCTATGAATGCATTCACTGTGACTGTTTCACAGTTGTTTCTCTCATATTAATTGAAAGCAACAATGTGGTGGTAGGAACCGGTAACTCGATTTTCGTGTTTTTGGTGAGCAATAAAGACCGGAGAGTCTCGACCAACTAGTTCAATCAGGTGCAGGACGTAAACAATGTTAGGACTCTCTTTGGTAGGGCATGTGATATCAAGCACATCGACCAAGGCCGAGACATGTTCAGGTCTATGAACACATGCAACAACTCCTAGCTCAGAATCAGGTTTTAAGTGCATTATGTTTTTTTGCTGATAACTTGCATATCTTCTTGAAACAGGGTAGTAAAGGTACTTCACCAGGACTGGGATTATAGTTGCATTTACTAGAACGGCAAGTGTCAACACGCTAAAAGTTGCATCCGAAAAAACTTGAGGGAAGCAATGAAAAGAAGATTAATGTTTTGTTAATAGAAACATCGTATAGAGACACATTGATTCAACTGAGATCGATTTTGATTCTGATTACCTCACTGTCTTTGAAAGTGGAGAAATATGAGAGCTCCACAATGCCTTTGTTGCTCATAATGAGAGAAATTACCAAGGAGTCCCTCAATGGAATCTTTCTCCAACATGAAGCTACGAAACATGATGTGAATTTGGCAAGGAATGTGACAATAACAAAAACACATGTAAATTTAACTGTAGATGGATCATCCAACATCTTTTTTGGATTAACTCTCATTGTACATCTTGTTACATAGATTACTAGAAAGATAACATTGGTTAAACAATCAAACTTTTCTACCAGCGCAGATCCTAGTGGTTGTCCGTCGGGGACAACTAAACCAATGAGAAAAGCCCCGAGTAAAGGACTATGATCGAGCTCATGGGTGAACATACTAGATGCAAAAGCCAACATCAAGATGATCACGACGTACACTTCCTCGATCGGCCTACCTTCGGGTGTTGTTCTAACTACCCATAATATTCATGAACGAACCACATAAAAAAGAAGAAATAAATAAATAATCGTTGCTCCTGCAAGCCCACAACCGATGATGGTGACACAGCCCAATATCGTGCCAAAAAAAGCATTTATATAGTAATATGGTTCTCAAGTCACTCACGACCGCCGCTGATAAGGCCAGTCGTCCCAACTCTGAATTTAGGATCTTGAGCTCACCGAGCAGCCATGCGACGACTGAAAGATATGTCACGGATTCAGTGATTGTCTCAACTGCACGTTCCATTGTTATTCCTTGTTGAATAATCGGGTAAAGAAAACGAAAAGAACACAAGAATTTTAACGAGGTTCAGCAATCTGCTTACGTCCTCGATGCCCTGGGCGACGCTAGATTTTTCATTCAGTAATAAAAATCATAGGTTTTGGTTACGTCTCCTTTTATAAATAAACCCTGATACATATTTACAAAAATAACCCTGTACCGTATATTTATGAGTCATACCTAACAAATCTCCACCTTGGCGAATATCCTACCCCTTAAGAAACATTCAATGTGGGTTGGGTTACCTTACTTCTTTAACAACTCGAAACACTCAACAAGTCCAAGCAATGCAAGAACTTGCCTGTCGTAACTGGCTTGGTGAACATATCAGCGACATTCTCATCAATATGTACATTCTGAAACAAAATCTCTCCAGATGCAACCAACTCTCTAATCTTGTGAAACCTTACATCAATATGCTTAGTTCTAGTACGATATACATGATTCTTAGCCAAGTGAATAATAGTTTGATTGTCACAAAGCAACTGAACTCCACCTTGCTGAACACCTAACTCATTCACTAAACCAGTAAGCCATAAAATTTCTTTTGTAGCTTCAGCCGCTGCCAAGTATTCAACTTCAGTTGTAGATAATGCCACAACAGATTGAACAGTAGACTTCCAACAAATAGGCCCTCCACCAAGAGTAAAGACATACCTTGTTATAGATCTTCTATTATCCAAATCAACCTCATAGTCTGAATCCACATATCCTACAACCAAAGAATTATCCCGCTAACTACCAAAAATAATTTCATGTCCCACAGTACCCTTTAAGTACCTAAAGATCCACTTGACTGTTTCCCAATGTTGTTTACCAGGTTTAGACATATACTTACTAACTTGACTAACATCATGAGCTAAATCAGGACGAGTACATACCATTGCATACATCAAGCAGCCAACAACATTAGAATACGGAACCTTTGTCATATCTTTAGCTTCCCTATCTATCTTAGGGCACTGTTCTGATGAAAGCATAAAGTGATTCGCCAATGGAATGCTCACTGGTTTTGCGTTGCTCATCGCAAACCTTTCTAGTATTTTCTCAACATAACCCCGTTGAGATATCCACAGTTTCCTTGAGTCTCTGTCCTCTTTACCGGTATATTTATGAGCCATACCTAACATTCCTCCACTTTGATTAGGCATTATGTAGGCCTCTTGAACAATTATACTAACAACAAGAGGACATAAAAAGGGATATAATGCCAATCACTAGAGCTCTCCTTGTTGTCGTGAGTGCCAACCTCACGTCCATTTTCACTCCCATCAGAAACAAAAATATGGTGAAACCAAGCCCTGATGTACTATCAATGACTTCTAATACTAATTCATTTTGAATAGATATGTTTCGGAATCTTTCTATTTCCCCCAGCCCTGTAGGCCCTATGATCATGCTAGTCTAGTCAACAAAAGTTAAACGAAAGATATTAGTCACAAATCAAGGTAGGCTCTCGTTTTTTTCCATGAAGGGAAACCCAATATATATATAAAGAGAAAGATATAAACAAATGTGTAGGTAATTAATTAACATACAAATATTTGTGAGGAAAACATGGTTATTCCAAGGGGCTTGAGGATGGCGTAAATGAGATGGGTGACCACGAATGCCAAGAGCACTTGTAACTCGAAAAGCGGAAATGAATACGTGAGAATCACCGAAGGAGAAGCCAAGTTTTCCCAGATGTCGACAGAATTAACCTTGGGCTGTAAACGCAAGCAAACTTTGAATGTCTCATTCCTATAGGGAAGAGATGGTGCTTCGGCCATGATGATTTTAATGAAGGGAACGTATGAGAATTGGATGTAATGTTATCATCAGGCTTCAAATATAGGTTAAAAATATTTGTCTTCTTTTTGTTGTTAATATTAACGATTTCCAATTGTTTTAACAAGATTTTGGATTGGCTTTCACCTAAGTCTTACTAAACCTTTCAAAATTAAAAGTCATATTTACTAAAATAGATCGACAGTTAGGGTAATTTGTAGTAGTGGAACTTTCCACAAGCAGAAGTGACTCATCGTTTCGAAAGCGAGAAGAAAAAGAAGATGCGGTTGCAGTAGATTCTGAATTATTGGCAGGAAGAAGTGTTGACTCGTTGGAGGAGAAGAATTCTGAGAGGTGGCTTGAGGAAGATGACAGTCAATTACGTTGTATGGGGAACATACCTAGAGGCGGCTACTTGTCGGGTGAGGACGAGGACGAAAGAAACATAGGGGAGGAAGTAATTATGGGTCTGAGGAATAATGATGATGGATCGAGAAAGGTACAGAAGCAAATTGAGGAAGTTGTGAAACACGAGGAGAGAGATGCAGATGATGACAGCAGGAAAATATTTAAGACTATTAGTGTTAATGAGAAAATGAAGGATAATTTAAAAGATTTGACTATATGGGAAGGTCGATTAGACTCAAAGGCGGTGGAGGATGTGGTTAATATGGGCTTCACAAACAATTGTGTTATCAAAAGATCCAATGGAGTGGAGGTCCAACAGGACGGGGCTGTGGCAGACTGGTGGATGGAAAGCCCAAATCGGGGATAGAATGAGAGGATATGGATAAGAGACTTTGTTTGTCAACACAACTGAGGGAGGATATTTTCACGCATAATTCTAGGCAGAACCAAAGAGTAAAGGTGGGGAAAACAAAAAATATAGTTCTCTTTAAAGAATTCAAGATAAATACACAGATACCCAAAGGAAGAGTAGAAACTGCCAAAGCAAGAAAAATCAGAAGGTGCAAAGCGAGGAAGAATTGACTGAACTTGAAGGTAGATCCCTATCTGATTCTGACTTACAATCAAGATGGCAGAGACAAAAGAAGGAAACGAAATAAACATTACAGATGGGCAAAGAATTGGGTATAGAGTTTAAAGGCTCATAAGAGGTTTTGGTTTGGGAAATTATAGCAGTGGAAGAACTGGAATGTGAGTCTCAATCTCTATCTATTGAATTTTAGTTGTAATCAGAGGAAGTAGTTCGAGATGAGGATCTTATCCTGGAACATAAGAGGTATGGGCTCAAATGTTAAAATTTCTGAACTGAGGAGGATTATTAGGACGCATAAGATTGAGATTGTGTTAATTCAAGAAAAAAAAGGTTTTTAATGAAACTGATATAGCGTGATTCTGGTGTGATGATGATTTTGACTTTAGATTTTCGAAAGTAGTGGGTAAAGTTGGGGGTCTACTGTCTGTGTGGGATAATAGTCGATTTCAGATTGAATATAGTTTAATTAAGGATAGATTTATTCTGATAATAGGGAAATATGCTTCAGAGGATTCGAAATGTTCAGTGTTGAATGTTTATGCACCTTGTGATGTTACTGAACAAGTCACATTATGGAATGAGTTAGTGGTAGAAAGGGGAAAAGATAACAATAAATGGTTCATGGCCGGTGACTTTAATGTTATACGAAATCATAGTGAGAGAAGTGGATGCTCTTATAGACAAACTGAGATTGCAGTGTTCAATAAGTTCATAGAAAGAGTGTAATCTCTTCGACATGCCATTAGAAGGGAGGAAATTCACTTGGTTCGGGCTGAAAAATAGAAGAAGCCGCCTAGACATGATGTTTTTTAGGATGAATGGTTTCAGGGAAATGGTGATACAATATTATGGGGATTATCGAGAATAGTTTTAGACCATATACATATACTATTGGGTAAGGAGATCATAGATTGGGGTCCAAGGCCTTTTAAGTTCATTAACAGTTGGTTACAACAGGAAAGTTGCACTAAGGTAATAAAGGAGACATTACAGCTTGATCACTCATGTGATGAAGAATTAAGTGTGAAATTAAGAAGAGTGAAATGAGCATTACAAAAATGGAATAAGGATTGTTATTGGAATGTTGATAATGAAGTTAAAAAAATGGAGCAGAGGATAAATGAGCTAGACAGAAAAGGTGACTTAATTGGACTGGATGATCGAGAAAGGAGGAGGCAGAAGCTGCACAAGGAAGTTATGGGATTTATTGAGAGAAAAAGAGGATATATGGCGTCAAAAATCAAGATTGAAATGGCTGAAACTTGGAAAAGATAATTCTGCTTTCTTTCATAGAGTAGTGAAGATTCAAAATAAAAAACGAATGATTTTAGGAGTTAATTTAGGGGAGGATAATGAGGTTGATCCCTTAAAACTAAGAGCAAAAGCCTTTAATTTTTTTAGCAACCATTTTAGATGCAAGAAGAAAGAGTGGCATATGGAGATAAATATTCCATTCAAGCAAGTATCTTTGGCTGATGTTGAAGAGATAGAAGCGCCATTTTCTATTGAAGAAGTTAAAGAAGCAGTGTGGAGTTGCGAGGAGGACAAAGCACCGAAACCCGATGGGTTTAATGATAACTCCGTAAAAAGGTCACATTTTGGGACCTTTTCACTTAAGTTATTGATTGTCTATGAGCTCATTTAGGACCACATAGATGCATTTAGGAACATATAGTTACATGTGGTGGAATTCGGTTTGCCGCGATATTTTAATTTGTCATCAGTGCTGCCTTATGGGGAATGTGTTTGCTTAATGATGTGCAGGATTTGAGAGCAAGGAAAAGGAAAATACCGTGGCATAAGAAGATTGCTGAGCAGAATGAAAATGCCGAGTTGGATTGCCATTTCGAGAGCGAACAAAATGAAAGAACATATTTTTGGAGCCAACTGTCCCTATTTTCACGGGATCTCTGACCATGACCGAGAAATCCACCTGAATTAGTGTTGTCTTTCGGGTGCTCAGTCAACCATCCAGGCTGGACCATTGCCAGTTGCCCAGGAGCACCACTGCCAGCTCTGCCCGATCCTCACGTAAATTAAGTATGATTTGGGGTATCTTTGGAATTTTGACACAAATCTTTAGGGTTTTCTCCCCTTATAAATAGAGGATGAAGCCACAATGTTATGCACTTTTCTTCCATGCCATTTTGAGCTTAAAAGTTAGAGAGATGAGGTATTACTTTTCTCCATCAAT